AGGCTACTGTATGTGTGTGTGTGTGTGTGTGTATCTGCATGTCTACACCAGTCCCAGTTCCTGAACAACAGCATAACTAAGGTGAAATACCGGGAAATGAAAGAACATCCCGAGCATCCCAGGTAGCGTCTCTCCAAATACTTCCTGTCACAGTGGAGCATAAGAGAAGTATCCAAAGAGCATCAATTTTAATGGTTTTACCCTTCACACATTTTCAAGTATTTGGATTTTGATTGTCTTCTTGATTTAGATATCATGGTGGCTCAATAATGTTTTATGGTAATAAATATTCATCAGAAGCATTATTTCCGCTATGATTTAGCGACCGCATCAGATTCTGCTTGTTGTCTGGAGCTATTTTTAAACAGGCCAACAATCTGTATGACTAACAGTAAGGCAGACACACACACACACACATACACACAATCACACTGCCTGCCTGCTGGGCATCTCCAGTCTGTACCAACTTTATGAGAGTCTCGCCCAACACAGCGCACAGGGCTATATAACATGTCAATTAAAAAGATTTCAGTGGAGAGACTTTCCTCCCTTAAAGACATCCTGGGATTTTTGTTATTGTCCCACCAGTGGGTGTCTTAACACACAAGAAAGCCATTTATTTTCTTTTGATCTGCCCAATAAAACAAACACAATACTGAAACTCTCTCCAATTATTCTGACAGCTTGCTAAATTAAGGAAGTCAGATTAAAAGGAACTTGCAACTTGACTGTTTATCGCATGCTGTTAGTGACCAGAGGCTTTCTAGTCAGTGTGTTAATGTAGGTCGAGAGCCTCAAAGACCCTATACATAAATATGTTCCACCCATACAGGTGTTTTCATGTATAGACCTCTTCTGTGGACTGTACGTGTGGGCATTTAACATTGTGCTTGACTGATAACTCCTGTTAGTTTTGTTGAACATGAACAATTTACACCTGTAGTTTGGTTCCTTTAGCAAGAATCCCATCATGACCCCATGGTTATGATGTTTATCTCAAGGTGTGTTGAGGTATGGTTTGGCCATCATGTGTGGCACCCGTCATGGTATGGCCTGTGTTGTATGTATTAAAATAAAAATATATATATATGACAAGAAATAAATTACATCAACAGTGATCTTGTTGGTTGTCTTCCTGCATCATTCTTAATATCCCACTATTCAGGTGGGGAGAAAAACAAGCTCTTAAAAGGTCTCCATTGTCCTGCAGTAAAAAAGTGCAACCAAACTCACAATAATCTGCCTGTACACACCAACACAGACCTAAGAAGGTGTCCAGGAAGATAAAATAAATTAAACACACGTACAGGTAAGAATACAGAGATTAAAGAAGCCTGACGTATGTTGAAAATGTTATTTGATTTGTGTTTCAGTTGAACTATCACTCGAGCTCCTGTCTATGTCTTGTAGAATCAATTGACAACCAGTAATCCAAGTCTAATTATAATCCCCAGGTTTTAGAGGTATTTAGAGTATTGGTTCCCTGACCTCAATATGAGGATAAAAATATTTATTGGAAAGATAAACAAGCGCTGATTTGTGCCATGATCAATAAGGTCTCAGTCTCTAGGTTTGTGAGCTTGTGTGCACTTCTATCCACACAAGCCCTTGAAGGGATTTACCGGCCAGTTCAAATCACTGAACCGTGGTGGAATTATCTGAGAGGAGGAGGAGAAGGAGGTGGCTCACTGCTGTCAGCAACTCAAACTGATGTTCCCTAAAGCCTTAAACTTGGACAAAAAAAATTACCATTGGGTAATAATGAGAACATCACAATTTCACCTCTGTGTTTAGTATTTGGTGTGCAATGAGGCTTTAGAGATGATAAAAATGCTGGTTTGTATCACTTTGTTCAGCACACACATCCCCGTTAACCCGAGAAACAATCATACAACAAACTAATCCTCATGTGGCTTTGTGTTAATCAAAGTGTTTATTTACCAAATCATGGTTGTACTGTGCAGACCGTGTCTCTCTGTGCTCAAGGGCGTACCTTTGGTTTGAGAATTGGGGTGCTCATTAAAATGGGGACTTTTAATCCAGTTTCCTGAATTTCTGTATACATTTAGGGACTACAGTAAGCTATATAACCCTGGCAATAATTCATTTGGTCATCATGTTAACTTCCGAAATAGTTTTAAATATACATATGGGAAGGCTGTCTTACCTTGTTTTTGCCTTGTTTAACCCACAACTTTAATGAACTTCCCATGTTGAGTTATTCAATTATGTTTCAGTGTTAGCCCCAGTGGAAATTATGCTTCAGGATATACAGTATTTTTGGTGAGTGTCGTAGTTACCATTGAGGACATACTGGATACATTTTCAGTATTATTTCTGGTAATGATGCTGTTTTATCACTTTAGCAGAAGTTTACATCCTACACATGCATACACAGAAGTAACACGGTGGGTGAGAACAAAAATGTGTGTCTCATATGTTTTTTCTGCCAAAAAAAAAAGAAAACCTCCATATTAATCTCCTCAAAAGGGCCTCTACTCTTTCTACCTCATACGCAAATTGACATGCCAATTTTGTTAATTTCTAAAGTTTTCCTGGTTTCCAGAAGATGTCTCCAACTTCACTGTAAAGTCAAACCGCAAATTACTGTGACATGCTGGTAGGCCCTGTCCATTAAAATTAGATTTTCATTGAGCACAGAG